AATTCTTAAAATAGAGACGAGTGAGTTAGGTAGAGACTTAGCTTTAGTGATACATTTTCAATGTAAAGTATACATATATTTAATAAAACACACATACCTAGCCTGACAGAGGGTTTAAAAAAATAAATAAATAAACTTATTTTTTTTATTGTTTTAATCCTATTAGAGTTTTTATTTTTATGATTTTCTAAGAAATTTTATTTATTTTGATTAAATTTTAAATTTTAAATAATCTAAATTTTTATTAAAATGATTGGTTAATATGAATTATATTAGTTTATAAAATATAAACAAGTTTTTATTAATTATACTTATATATCTAGATTTCATAAATAATAATTAAAAAAAAGTTTCAAAAATAGTTTTGCTTTAAAAGTCTCAAGTCCTTAAAAAATATACAAAATATCAAAAAGCAAAAGATGAATAATAGGAATTGCAAAATTTTATTCTTTTAAGTTTTTTAGATAATAAAAAAAACTTTTTTAATTAGAATATAAGATTTTTAATTTTTTTTTTTGAGCTATCTCAATTTGATACTTACTTAAATAGTCAATTTAATTGAATTGATTTGTTCAATATTACAAGTAGTGATAAAAAATATCTTTTTTAAAGTTAAAGTAAAAATAAGAAGAATATTTTAATCAAATAAATCCTTTTTGAAAAAAAGTTATATAGTTAGTAAAGTTTTTAAAAAAGCTTAAATTATATCTTTATTATTATTATTATTATTATTAATTTAGTAATTTATAATTTTTATTAATTTATAATAACAAATTATTGATAATAAACTTAAAAAAATAAATATTTATATTAATTCTTTAGAGAAGTGAAATATTGTTCATTTAAGCCTGATTTAAAGTATTTTGATATAATAATAAGTAGTTATTATATAATATTATATATATTAAAAAAAATATCTTGATTTTTTAATATAGATTTTTTATAACTTTGTTCAATTTAAATTAGAATTAAAATTTAGTTATAAGAAAAAAAATTTTTTTTTTTTGATATTTTAAAAATATCAAATTTTATATAAATCGATTAAACTTAAATAAATTATTTAAATAAAAAATTTTTTAATTAATAAAAAATTATAAAAACATTATTACGTATACAGTATATATACAGTATATTTTTATTTTATAAACTTCTTAATTAAAATAATATAAATATTTTTTATTATACTGTATATTTTTAACAAAATATTTTAAAAAATTCATAAGATTTACTTATTATTAAATACTTTGAAATTTAATTAAAATGGTTTATGAAAATAAAGATTGGTTATTTGAACTTGTTTTAATTTTGCTTTTGACTTTTTATTTATAATTTAATAAAAATTTATTTAAATATCTTTATTGTAATTCTAAGCTACTAATATAAACTTTTTAATAGCAAAAAAACTGATTAATTACGGTACATGCTTAAATTGTTTTTTCTTTTGCATTTATTTTTAATCTAATTATATTTCATTGTAATCAAGATTCTGTAACCATACTAACAAGTAATTACTTGACTCAGTTTATTTATTACAAGATGGCAGCAGAAAAAAGCAAAAAAAAAAAAAGCGCGGAGTAAAAAAAATGAACTAATGAGACACAAAAGGCAAAAAAATCAGGGTGGTTTAATAAAATAAAAGAATGCACGTATAAATGTCAATTAGAGAAGTATCGGGATGTTTGTCCTTTCCTAGCTAAACTTAAAACACACTATAATAATGCACATTGAAATATGCAACACACATGGGTTGTAAAAGTTGAAGCTTTAATGAAAAATTTTTTATTATAATATAATCCCACAATTGTTTAAATCGAAAATAGTAAGCGTCAATTTGATATATTTGAGTGTTTGCTACTTTCGTTGCATTTCAAATACATATTATGATATTTATTGATGTTGTACTGGTGTAAAATCTCTGAAATTCAAGATTTCTAGCTGATTTAGGCATCGAACCAGTAATTATTATCTGCATTGCATGTACAAAAAATGAAAATGGTCTCTTTCTGAATTTAAATCGAATAGAACTATATTGATGTAACACAAACATAACGGTCTTCCGGTACGTTATGCATATAAACTAGCGACATTCACCCTAAATAAATTTATAATTTCCAAAAGTTGACTCTGACATTCTTAAAATAATTTTATTTTTTCATTGCGCTTAATTTTTTTTTTTTTTCTCTTGACAAAGAATTATGAAAGGAAAATTAATTATTACGGGGGTGTTAATTATATCACAGGTAGGTAGATTCTTCATGCATTATTGTTTACATTGTTTACATTGATTCGTGTCGTAATTCCAACACACCGGCTTTTCGAAATTTGGAAAGATCTTTTTTGTTTTTGGACAATCAACGATTACAAGTTCCTCGATATTGAGCTCGACTCCTTCGAAGAGTACATCTTCTCCATCTTCTTCAGCTTCAACTATTCCAACAAATAATGCGACAAATTCCACTACTCCAGGACCAGTAATTTATCCTTATAATACGGTTCTGGTACCACCGAATAACGGAACATGGCAAATTTGTTCGCAAGAAAATACAAATTATGTTAGTAAGTATCTTCTAACAAATACGAATGAATGCATCGAAATTGTTGATAAATTTTCCACATTTGTTTTTAAACATAGGTTATAGTTTAAGGGTGGTCGATGATTCATCTCCGATAACTCCAAATTACGGGACTACAAACGATAGTCAACTAAGTCCAAACCCCACAGCTCCGACAGTGGGTGTCGTGGCAAGAATAATATATTCCAATGGGTTGGAGTTCGTTCCATCATTATCATGTTACAACGAAATTATTAAAGAGTGCGATCAGGATACGGGAAAAATTTTAATGGAAGACAAAGACAAGTACTGCTTACAAATAATAAATCCTGGACAACTTTCTCAAAAGGTTAATGTCACCGTGAGCTTCACGAGTACGGTGTTCAAGGATGGAGGATTTACTAGTGCAAACAGGCCAGGCGGAAATGCAAAACCTTTAAACAATTCGAACAGTTCGGATAGCAGTGCCTCGATAAATTGCGGAAGTACACTCGGAATCTGTATGATCTCAATGATGTCTTGGCTTGTATTCTGTGTTTTTCAAAGCAGCATATAATGGAAGTTTTATTGGACAACTCGAATTTATCCACAATGCCATAAAAAAAACGACATTTATATCATATCTATTAGGTCTGAGATGTCCAATTTTGAACTTTAGGTATGAGCAGAAATGTTAAAGTAATTTATTGAGAATAATTATCTTCTCTTTTAAGGTGATTACTCATTTTTTCAAAACAATTTCCCTTATGTACCACGATTAAATTATTTATAAGTGTTGTTTATAGGACTATTAGCAAACAAAAGTAATTAGTTCACCTGCATTTAATATTTCTAATGTCCTATGAGTTTGTTAACGCGATTTTTTCTTAATAACGTTAATGTATATACAGCAGTGAAACTATAAAAATCAATTATTAATCAAATAACATTGGAATATAAAACAAAAATAATGGTAATAACGATAAGATATCATTATTAGTTAAAGAATTATATTACTTAAAAAATATAAAGAGTTCACTAAGCTAGTTTGGATTAAACTAATTAAAATCTAAATTGGGTATTTAAGTTAAATTTAGAAGACAATATTTCACTTCCTTGATAAATTAATACTTAATTTCAATCCATTAGAATTATTGTTAACAATTTGTTACTATAGAATAGTCTACATAAACTGAATTATATACTGTATAATCTTCAATATAATATTATTAATTCTTTCTAAATATCTTTAAAAAAATATTTAAGAAATAATAAAAGTTTAAAGATAATATATTAAAATATAGAGACAAAAAAAACTGAAAAAATAATTTAAAAAGTATTATAATAAATATGTTAAAATCCGAAGAATAAAAAAAAATAATAAAATTCTTAATTAATAAAATAATTTTAAATAAAATTAAGATTGAAAATAAAATATATAAATATATTATAATCAATAAAAACCAAATTGAAAAAAATATAAAGATATTATTAAAAATCTTTTATAAATCTATAAAAGATTTTAATAGTTAAATTAAATATTAGAAAAAAAAAATACAAATATAGAAAATATATCAATATAAGTTAATATAAAAAACTATTATAACAATTCAATATAATATTATAATTGCTTTCTAATAATAAAGCTTTTAAAAAGTTATAAATTTGTAATAATGTATTGAAATACTTAAGTAATAGAAGAAAAAGTTTTTTATAATAATATTAATTAAAATTTTAAAATAAATTTATTAATAATTTATTAATTATTTAACAAAAATTTATTAAACTTATAAAAAAATTAATTATATTTATATAATAATATATGACTTGCTAAAATGAAAACTCTTTTCACTGATCCTTTGACCACATACAAAAAAGATGTTCGCAAGAAGTTTTTTGCTTCTTTACTAATAAAATCTTTAATAATTTTCTTAAAACACCTTGAAAAGTGACTTCAAGAATTGTCTCTACCTCCCTTTACTTGTTTACAATCCTCTTTGATCAAAAACTTTTGATAATCAAGAACAAGTCAAGTAACATCTTTGATATCAATAGCAAGAAAGTTTCCAAAGGAAAAAGAACCAATAGTGAAGTATATAAAGGCCTTCTCTATTTTTAAAATGAGAGGTATATAAAGATTTTTAATGACAGAAGGATTTATTTTTTCCCTTTCAATTACTGTTGAACCTCTTAAAGCTATCACTTTTATAATTTTCTGGAAAATTTTGCCTACCTCAGTTTAATCCTGAGTTTTGGGTAACACAAATTCTTACCAAAGGTAATTAGATAATACAAAATATATTGGTTTCAGGAAAAGTAAACAAGCTCTTATTGGTTATACTCACATGTTCCTATTATATTATGGGTGATATAGAAAAGAAAGTTCTAAAAGAAGTTTTCCTTTAATTGAGTATATTTGATCCCAAGAAACAGTTATGATATAAAAAAGTAAGGTGAATCTATACAAAGAAATTCTATCTCTTCTTTAAGTTTCTCAAGTGATAAAAAGACTTCTTAATATAGAAGCTGGAATCTTTTAGTTTCTCTTGAACTATTCCAATCTGGTGTATGCTTAAATGAAGACTTATTTAATGCCATAGGTGGTGACAAAGAAAACTTCTTTTGAGATCCAAATGATGTAAAAAAGAATATTCCAATTAGGCAAGATCCCTTTTGAAAAGAGACTATGAAATAAAAAAAAAATCTTTTGGAAGGCTTTTAATTGGTTTTCTTTTTCTTCTTCTTCAGTTCAACTTTAGCAATTCATCATTTTTTGGGATAATCGATAGTGACAAACTGTTGGTAATAACCTTGGTTAACTTAAAGGCACTATACTAAGCTACTAGAAGAGTGTAATATTATTTCCTAAAATCTAACTTAGAGTACCTAGTCGAGACTTAGTTTTGTTTAGTTTAAACTAGCTTATTGAACTCTATATATTTTTTATGTAGTATAGTCCTTTAACTAATAATATACAAAGATGAATTAGTCATTATATGAGAAGGTCTGCAGATTATTTTGATATTTTTACAAGTATCTTAATAAAGACAAGCCATTTCAACATGATTGTGAATTATAAATAAATCTCTTTACTCAAAAACATAACTTTATATAATTAAAAAAATCAAATAATATTATTAATACAAATAATAAAAAAACTTTAAAAAAAAAATCAATTATAAAGTATTTAAAAACTTTTTTAATTTTTAAAACGAAAAGTTTATAAAGGTTTTTGTAGTTAATAACTTATTTTCTTTCTTTTGAACCATTTTAGTTCTTTTAGTGCTTTTATTTTTATAGTTTTTTAAAAAATTTTACTTATTTCAATTTGATTTTAAATTTTAAGTAATATAAATTCTTATCAAAGATAATTGATTTATACAAAATATGTTAGTTTTTAAAAAAGTAAACAAACTCCTATTGATTATATCTATATAATCTAATAACATTAGTGATAATATTAAAAAAAAGTTTTAAAAGATATTTATTATCAACTAAGTAAGTTTTTTAGTAAAATAATCATAATATTAAAAGGTGTTATAAGGGATATTACAACTAGTTAACTTCTTTTTTTATTTAAATTTCTCAATTGGTAAAAAGACTTTTTTAAGAAAAAAAAGTTGACATTTTTCATTTTTCTTAAGATATTTCAATCTGATATTTGTTAAAATAATAGATTTATATATAATATTACAAGTGATAACAAAAAAAAAAATCTCTTTTAAGGTTTAAATAAAGTATAAAAAATATTCTAATTAAACAAACTTCTTTTGAGAAGAAATTATTAAATAGATAGAAAAACTTTTTGAAGATGCTTTAAATTGTTTTCCTTTTTTTTTTTCTAATTACTTTAATAATTTATTGTTTTTTATAATAATTAATAGTATTAAATTGTTGACAATAATTTTAATAGTTTAAAAAATTCTGATATCAAAATTTAAAAAATTATAATATTATTTTCTAAATATGACTTGAAATATCTAATTGGGATTTAATTTTGATTGATCTAAACTAGTTTAATGAATTTTTTATATTTTTTAAGTAATAATTATAGAATATTTTAGAAATTGATTCTTTAAATAAGGAAAAAGAAAAGAAAACCTAAAAAACTTTAATTAAAAATCAAATCTATTATATATCCTTGAGAAATATCAATAAATAATTATTGATAAAAATAAATAAATCAATGATTATTATTAAACAATATGAAAAATTAATTTTTTATATTTAGAAGCTAAAAGCTATACTTTATCTATTCTAAACTTCTAAATTTCTATAAAAAAGATAGAAAGGATTGGAAATAATCTATTGATAAAATTATTAATTGAAACAGAAATCTGATATTTGTACCATTTATAAACTTAAAGTTTAAAATTAGAAATTTATTTAATGCTTAAATATAAATTGCAAAAAAAAATCTAACAAATTGTTTGATTTAATTCAAGAACAACAAAATAGTTTAATAATTTGTTATAATAATACCAAAATATAATTACTATTAATAACTTATTTGCTAAATTCATTAACTTGATTACTTATTACATTATTACTGAAAATACTTTATCAATTAAACAATAACCTTATAATATATTTTATCTTTTATTGAACATGAATTTGTGAAAAAAAAAATCAAATATATATTAGATCCAGAAATTATTATATAGTTTTTAGACTCTTCTAATCATATTAATAAAAAAATAGTTATATAAGATTTTATACTAACTATCAGAAGCTTAACAAAGTCACTAAAAAATGTTTATCTATTACTTAGAATTAATAAAATTCTTGACTTATTAAGAAAGATTAATAGTTTACTTTTTTAGATATGACTAATAATAATGAGTCCCTAAAGTTTAAATATTATATTTTATAACCAAAAGTGAATTATATCTATTCAAGACTTTAGATTATAGGATACAATTTTATAACTGAAAATCAAATTTTTATAACTTAAAGTTAATTTTATAATCAAAGTCAATTTTTTATAACTGAAAGTCAATTTTATAATTAAAAGTCAATTTTTTATAACTTAAAATCAATTTTATAACCAAAAAATCAATTTTATAACTAAAAATCAATTTGATATATGAAATTAAAAATATAAATGATTTGATAACTGAAAGTAAGAATATATGTAATATTTAAATTTTGAACAAAGGATCTATCTCAAAATTCTTAATTAATTAATTTATTTTTAGTAACATAATAGTTGAATCAAAATATAATAGCAATCAAATTTTTTGATATAAAAATATTTTTTATTAATTAAATTTATTTTAAATTTTTTTATTTAAAATATAAATATTATTTTATATATCTTTAAATTATCAAGAAATTATTTTTTTTATATGGTTATTTAATATTTAGTTTGATTGTTTAAAATATAAACTATTAAAAAAATATAATATTTTTAAAGTTCTATAATATAATATTAATTTTTTTTTTTTAATCCTCTATCAAATTAATTATGTATGCTTTATTAAATAATTATAGGATATATGTTATATATGTGATACTAAGTAAAGATAAACTCTTTACACTGATCCTCTAACCACACATAGAAAAGATGTTTGCAAG